TCGATCAGACGTTTCTGATCGTTCCTGGATTCACGTGCGGTACCTAATCCTGCCGAAAGGATCCGGGGCGTTACAGCGGTCCTGTTACAGGTGTAAAGCCGAGTTCGGCCGTGAGCGAGGGGCCGGTTGTGATTGGGCGGCGGGTGTATTAGCGACAGGAGGTAATCGCCCATTACAGATTGACGTTATGGAGTTGGTAACCGGGTCAAAACGTGGCACGGAGTATTTTCGCTGTCCGCTTGCATCGTCTCCCGGAAAGTTGGTAGCGAGTGGATGCTGAAGTGATTGACAAACGCTAGACAATACTCGCTCGTGACTGACCCGTATCGCTAAGAGCCGATCATGACAGAGCTCGATGCTCGCCTCTCAGCCCTGCTTGACGGGAGGAAGCAGAAGAACAGGTTTAGGCAGCTGAGAGAGTATGACACGGACAAGGCTTCGAGTCTGGTAGACTTCGTACGTACCGCCATGAGCGACGACGGACTAGCTTGGCTAGCGGTTGCTCACACTCTTGATCGCCTCCCTAGTCCTCCAACGACTATCTCTCGCTCACATCGTCCTTATCCTTACGTCAAGCCTACCTGACAAGACTTCAGACCACGCCACAGATCCTCGGATCAACCGGCTCGCGGCTCCTGAGCGGGTGCACACCTGCCCATTCCGCTCTCGAAAACCGCTTCGCAGACTTCTTCCGCTCTCCGGCAGCGCTACTCTTCAACTCTGGCTGGGACGCCAATGTGTCCTTCTTCTCCACCGTCCCGCAGCCCACCGATTGGGTAGTCTACGACGAGCTGGTCCACGCGTCCGTGCATTCGGGTCTTCGAGCGTCTAGGGTACCTTTGGAGCGTCGCATCCCTTTCCCGCATAATAACAGCGCAGGCTTGGCCGCTGTTCTGGAGAGGATCACCGGGGCAAGCACCTCGAATGATCGGTCCACCGTGTTTGTCGCCCTCGAATCGCTCTACTCCATGGACGGGGACTTCTCCCCTGTGCCTGCTCTCTTAGATACTCTGGAGAAGTACGTGCCTAGAAGAAGACAGTGTGTTGTGCTGGACGAAGCTCACTCCACGGGGGTATATGGCGAGCAGGGCAGGGGAGTAGTGCATGCTCTGGGAGAAGAGGGGGGCTGTGACGATCACTCGGCGGGAGGCAGGCGGGGAAAGGGCAGAGTCGATGTCAGATTGATGACGTTTGGCAAGGCGGTGGGGTGTTCGGGCGGTGAGTGAACCTGGCTGGGTGGTGGAATTTCAACGTTAAAGTGGGTTGCATAGCGGTACTGCTATGCTCTCCCACGACTCGATCCTTCCTGATCAACTTTGCGCGGCCACTTATCTTTTCCACGGCCTTGCCTCACTCGACCGTCATTGCGCTGGAATGTGTGTGGGATGTATTGCAAAGCCCAGAAGGAGATCAGGTGAGCACTGTTGATCGCTCTTTTGCTCGCTCTTTTGCTCTGCAAGGCTGACCCATCACACAGCGCCGCGAAAGATTGATGGCGCTGTCTGCTTATATCCACGCACGACTCGGCGAGCTCTTGTCGCAGACTCCGCGACACGTCCTACACCTGCCTCCAGACCTGTTCGTACCCTTCTCAGGCACTAAAACACCCTGGCTGAGCTCGAGACCTGGGTCGCCTATCCTCGGGCTATTGACACCCAGGCCCCACGCACTATCGGCGTACCTGCTTAACAAGGGATTCATCGTCCGACCCGTCGTCCCGCCAACCGTACCGCCTGGAGGCGAACGAGTGCGGATCTGTCTCCGGGCTGATGTGGGTGAGGACGCGATCCATGACTTGGTCGCGGCGCTAGCCGCGTGGGTGGACGCGGAGACTCAACAGCCAAGGACGACTCGGGCCAAGCTGTAGCGGTTGAAGTCGGTGATACCTTTCATCACACATATATAATGCATATTGGTGTCCGCGGCAGAACCGCGGGTCCGTGGGGACTCCGCCTTGATCGCACATGGCGTCTCGGCCGATGACGATGGTTCCAGACACTAAGCCCTGAATCGGGCCTCACCGTGGAAACGCTCACCAAATCGCTCGACTCTCATTTGCTGGTTTCTCATTTCGGCCGATCGACTCGACGGTCGCGACCTTTCGTTTTGGCTATATCCACCGCGACGGTCCGACTGATCAACTCTGATTTCTCTCCATCAGTCGCCTCTCAAGCTACCCACTCGAACAAAAGGGGCCAGCAGCAAAATACTTGTATCTATATCGTGAGTGATATCGCCCCGGTCTGGTTCAGCGTCCCTCTTTGCATTCGCTCACTGGCACGCCTTTGCCACCAGACTGGAATCATCATCATGCCCGCTCCCACTTCTGCCCCGCGAACCCTCTACGACAAGGTCTTTGACGATCACGTCGTGCGATCTGGAGAAGGTGACACTCTCATCTACATCGACCGACATCTCGTACACGAGGTTACCTCGCCCCAAGCTTTCGAGGGACTTCGAAATGCCGGACGAAAGGTCAGGCGACCGGACTGTACCTTGGTAACAGTCGACCACAACATTCCGTGAGTACACTCCTGTACACGTTGTATAGCCGTAAGCTTATAGCCCCTCAGCACCGCGTCTCGAAAAAACTACAAGGATGTAGCCACCTTCATCGTAGAAGCCGACTCCCGAGCCCAGGTATCCGCCCTCGAAGACAACGTCAAAGAGTTCGGCCTCACTTACTTTGGCATGTCGGACAAGCGACAAGGTGAGCGATGTGAACACAGAGCCAGCCTCATGTCCTAACCTTCTCCAGGTATCGTCCACATCATTGGCCCTGAGCAAGGTTTCACTCTGCCTGGAACAACCGTCTGCTGTGGTGACTCACACACCTCCAGTGAGTGGCTTGCCGGCTTTACTGTGCGACTTTGCTGACTCTGCTCTAGCGCACGGAGCGTTCGGTGCTCTCGCGTTCGGTATCGGTACCTCCGAAGTCGAGCACATCCTTGCCACACAGACCCTCCCCCAAGCCAAGTCAAAGAACATGCGAGTGACCGTAGACGGCAAGGTTGCCGAGGGAGTCATGTCAAAGGACATTGTTCTGCACATTATCGGTGTGATCGGTACTGCCGGTGGTACCGGATGTGTCATCGAGTTTGCTGGCTCTGCCATTCGAGACCTCTCCATGGAGGCTCGAATGTCGATCTGCAACATGTCCATCGAGGCTGGTGCCCGTGCGGGTATGATTGCGCCCGATGAGGTTACCTTCAAGTACCTCAAGGGACGACCCCTCAGTCCCCGAGAGGGAGAAGAATGGGACAAGGCCGAGGCCTACTGGAGCACGCTCAAGACGGATCCCGGAGCTCATTACGATATCGAGGTTGAGATCAAGGCCGAGGACATTATTCCTACCCTGACTTGGGGCACCTCCCCCCAAGACACCGTGCCCATCACTGGTGTCGTTCCCGACCCCAAAGACTTCCCTGAGGCTCAGCGACCCAACGTTATTCGATCGCTCGAGTACATGGGTCTCACCGCCGGTACTCCCATGGAGGAGGTCAAGATCGACAAGGCGTTCTTCGGTTCGTGCACTAACGGTCGAATCGAGGACATGCGATCTGCCGCCAGGGTCATCCTCGCGGCCGAGAAGAACGGTGGACCGACCAAGGTCGCCGAAGGTGTCTATGCCATGATCGTCCCTGGATCGGGTCTGGTCAAGCAGCAGGCGGAAGCTGAAGGCCTCGACGTCATCTTCAAGAAGGCCGGATTTGACTGGCGAGAGGCCGGTTGTTCCATGTGTCTGGGTATGAACCCTGACCAGCTCAAGCCTGGAGAGCGATGTGCTTCCACCTCGAACCGAAACTTTGAGGGTCGACAGGGTGCTGGTGGTCGAACCCACCTCATGTCCCCGGCGATGGTCGCCTGTGCCGCTCTTACCGGACGAATGACCGATGTGCGAAAGTTCATGGGCGAGCAGCTGAGCGAGGATGGTGGACTCAAGATCACTGCTTATTCGGACTACCTCGAGCCGGTCGAGGCTCCTGCCAAGCCCGAGGAGCCTACCGAGCAGACCGAGGAGGGTCAGACTCCTGTGAAGAAGGCTGCTGCCGCCTCGGCCGGTCTTCCCAAGTTCAATGTCCTCAAGGGCATCTGCGCCCCGATGTGGGAGGCCAACATCGATACCGACAAGATCATTCCTAAGCAGTTCCTCAAGACCCTTCTGCGAACCGGTCTCGGCACCGCGCTCTTCTGGCCCCTGCGATACGACGTCCGAACGAACGAGCCCCTGCCTGATTTCGTCCTCAACAAGGAGCCATGGAACAAGGCTTCTCTTCTCGTCTGCACCGGACCCAACTTTGGCTGCGGTTCGTCCCGAGAGCACGCTCCCTGGGCGCTGAACGACTTTGGAATCCGATGTGTCATGGCCCCCTCGTTCGGTGACATCTTCAAGACCAACTGCTTCAAGAACGGTATGCTTCCGCTCGAGCTCCCTCAGGCCGACCTCGAGGCGCTCTACGAGGACGCTTCCGCCGGTCTGGAAATCGCCGTCGACCTTGAGAACCAGGTCGTCGTCCGACCCAACGGCAAGCCTGCCATCCCCTTCGAAGTCGACGCGTTCAGGCGACACTGCCTCATCAACGGCCTTGACGATATTGGACTCACCCTGGAACACCGAGAAAACATTGAAAAGTTCGAGGAGAAGCGAACGTCTGTCTGGCCTTGGCTGGACGGTGTAGGGTACGCCAAGAAGGGCAAGATCGTGGCGGTCCCCGTACGGAAGAGCGTCAAGAAGACGGATTGGTAAGGCCCTTAGAGGTCTTGGGACGGTTGGACCTTACAGCTTGGCAGAGGCCAGCGACGTCTCTTGTTGTATAGATTATATGATACTCAAAATACACCCATGCATAGGTGGATCGGTTCTACGCACGAGCAAAACCGAGCGCAATGTATTCTGTAGCACCACACTCCACACGTTCTGACATTTGTGGCGGATTTGAGGCGGAAAAGAACAAAACAAAATAAACGGAGACAAAAGAATTTTTTTCGGGCCAAAAAGTCGACGACTGTAGGACTCGAACCTACGAGACCGAAGTCATGAGCTTTCTAAACTCACCGAATAACCACTATCGCAAGTCGCCGTTATTTGGAGCGGGTTTACTCAAATATATCCCATTGACCAAGGTACACCCCGCACGGCGGACCGCCATGAGTGCTGGTGCGAGCGATTATCCACCGGATATTGTTGTTGCAACTGTCGTACAGGATGCAGGAGTCCTTCAAGACCTGGAGTGCATACGTGATGCTTGAAGGAGGGGGAAGATCATGATGCATGAGGACAGGCTGTAGAGACTGGCTTATCGAGGGACTCCGTCTTGGGGATAGATTGTCTGGTACCTGCAGGAGCTGGCTTGGCGTACAGCCGGACCCGGTATGAAGCCGTGTTCGGTTGCACACGAGCCACTGCGCTGGGTACAGAGGACGAGAGGTGCTCGGGGCGCTTATCGTGTCGACTCACGAATCGCATCCGAAACGATGCTATGTGTGCTCGTTCGTACTGAATGTTCAGGCCACGATCCTCCGCCCGTGTCAGGGTTTGCATTTGAAGCAAGACAACGAAGACAGATCTCACTTGCGAGACTGCGCGACTTCCAGAAGACTATTCCTCTAAGAATCCCGGGGCGGCGAACGCTCAGAGCCATTGTCAGGTCTGCTTCCTCGCTTGTTCATTTCCGCCTGCAGTTCGAGAGCCTGCCTTGACAAAATCGCCTTCATCATAGGAGCCTCGTTGTGTCGCCTGATCAGCACCGGTGACAAGCTTACGTGAGCCCGCTCGCAATGAGCTGTGATCGATGCATTGGAGATGTGTGTAGGTGTCTAAGAAATATCGTGGGAGCGCCGCACGCAACAGTGGCTGGCACGGCCATGTGCACGAGTGATATCTCGCTCCTATACTATCCGCGTCTCCATTTCCGATCTCTCTCCGTGTGCGCTGCTCCTGATGGGCAACAGACCCATCGGCTGTACATTGTCCCTGACTTCCTCAAGGACCTTGACGATCTCTTCCTTCTTCTCGCCATGAGCGCCGAGAAGCTCGGCGAATTTGTCGACGAGTTCGGGTCCTTCTCGAATAAGAGCCTGACGTGAGGTCGATATCAGTCTCAGACAACGAATTCGGAAAGCACTCACCAGCACGACCTCGACCGCGATGAGAAGGATGATGATGATCTCCATACGGTGACCAGAGGACTGAGGGGGGGCGTCAACGCAAGCTAGGACCGGCAGAAAGCGATACTCACCTCGGTGAGAAGCGCTCGCAAGGTATTCTGTACTTCCTGGGCGTAGTCTAGCTTTTTGTTAAAGGCGTCTATACGCTCCTTGATCTCGAACTCGGAAGCGACAGAGTCAAAGTATGCTGACAGGGTGTTAGCTAGATCCCGCCCTGCCAACTCAACCGAGCTCACATTCTAGCTCTGGTTCAGACCAGTAGAACTGTCGAGTGGTCAGCGAGATCGACCACGAACCAAAGATGGCTCACCTCGGGAGTGTCGTCCAGGCCTCCACCGCTGGTGTTGACCGCCATCCTCAGGGTCATAAGCTCTCCCATCTTCCTGATCACCTCTGTTCTGGCGAGAGGCTGGCGGCCATACTTTTCCAGCGCTCTGGGCAATACCGACACCGAGGCCAAGTGCTTATCGAGCCTGTCTTCCAGGACGGAGAGGGAGGATGATCGGGAGAGAGAGAGCGAAAGGGTGTAACGGGCTAGAAGCGAGGCAAGGGACGGCGAGGGGTGGAAGGTGGACAATTCTGGAGGGCGACCGAGAAGGATGAGATTGCCGAGGATGTGTGTTTTGCTAAGATGCTATGGTCAGCACATCGCATAGATCGCACGACACTTCCACTCACGCAGTCGGATCGACCACAAAGTCGACCTCTTCCACCTCGTAATCCTGTGGCGCCAGTCGGTTCACCTCCACATTCGATCCCTTCCTCCTGATCACCTCTCGGAGGAACGCCCTACCTTCCTCCTCCGTCAAACCCCAGGTGACAAAAGCACCCGAGTTGAACACCCAGATCTCGCCTCGTTCGCCATACCCGAAACCCATATCCCGCACGTCCCTCGGATCGTCCTCCTCCGCCTCGACCCACTCAAGCTCTGGCGTCTTGACGGTGGTGGTCCGTCGCACGTCTTTTCCCCGCATGAGCCGCTCGGCTCCCCCTCGACCTTTCCAAGGGCCGATGACGAATGCCCGCTCCCTGTCCCCCTCGGGCACTTCGTCCCATCGTACGCCCAGCAATCTCAGCACAGAGCCAAGGGTCAAGAGGTCGTAGCGTTCGGCCGTGGTGTGTGCGATGCACTGGAGCACGGGCCCACGGGTATGACTGGCAGCGTTACGAAGCGGCTGCGACGCCGCTTCCAGTCGCCGTTTGGGCGGTTTGTGCGAGACGGGAAGTTTGGGTTGACGAGCGTTGTCGGGTCGCGTTGCCGTAGCACGGTTGTGAGCTGCTGATGAGGCCAGCCGTGTGAGACTCATCGACGGCGCCAGCGGGGCGATCGAACCGGAGCGTCGCTGTACCAGCTGACGTAGACATTGCGTGCAGACCGGTTGAAGTCGGGACGGGCCGGCCTGTGTGAGTGTCCGCAGCGATCGTGATAGCATGACGACGTTGACGGTGGCTTGTGGATGCTACTGGCTTGCTTGCGCCCGGAGGACTAATGTAGATGATAGTTGCGACGATCGCTCTAGGATGATAGCGAGTCACGGAAGAATGCGAAAGTCGAATTCGGCGAGCGAGCGATTGAGATGAGAGTACGTAATAAGCGACATAACAGTCACGTGACCCGGCTATCAACCCCACTCCCCCAACCGAGCCCATCCCTTTGGCGCAGATGCAGCTCGGGTGACTGGGGAGGTGAGATATAGGTTCATTCCTAGTCCTGATCTCTACGACCCACTCGCCCACAGACCAACATGTCCAGCCTCGCAGCACAGGCGATACTGCATCCCAAGCTGAGCCAGTCCCTCGCCGTGCTTGCCACGACCATCGGACGGGACAAGGTGGGTGAAGATGCGAGGGGTACGATGCGACGCACCCGGGGTCGTCTTATTCCGCACGCTGATGCGTGTCACAGGCCTACAGGCTCATCCAATACATCGCCAGGCTACTCGCATGGTCGTTCCTCAAGCGTGGGAATGTCGAAGCAGCCGCCAGATGGGAAGGGCTCAAGACCGGATTTGCGACGGGCCGACGGGGTAAGTAAAGGACAGGTCTAGCGGGAGATGGGGCCCTTGCTGAGTCCTGATCTCCCCAGTCATGCGTCTGTTCCGCCCCGCCGAGTTTCTGCAGTCAGCAATGAACCTAGCTCAGCGCCCGGTGTGGGTACTACGCGTGATATGATGGCCAGCAACTGACCACAGCATGACCCCAGGACGAGCCTAAAAGGCCCAGGTCAGATCGCACATCTCGCACAGATCGGTCGGCAGCTCGGTTATGCCGGCTTCTTCACCGCCGACATGATGGTCTGGCTCGGTCAGATCCGGTTCCTGCGATTTGACAAGGAGTGAGTGGCCTTCCGCTTCAGCCATAGCTACTTGGTTCTCCCCCGCATCCAGCTGATACCCTGCCCCCTCTCAGGAAGCTCGCCAGGTTCCAGCGCCTCACCTTCAAGTGCTGGCTCGCGGGCATTGTTTGCTCGCTCATCTCATCCTCCTCGTCTCTCGTCAAGCTGCGGGCGGACAGTCGTCGCTTCGCACTGTCAGCCGAGGTGGCCAGGAGAGAGGGCAAGGAGGGCAAAGGCCCAGACGAACTTGCTCAGGCGGAGACGGAGCGAAGGGAAAAAGGTCGTGCACTGCTTGCGTATGTGTGGCGCACCGAATAGGTAGCTCCCTCAGCTGACCATCCTGAAGGCAAAGACAGTCTATTCTGTCTCAGCTCATTATCGACTCGTGCGACGTCTGGATTCCGGCCACCGGTCTCGGGTATGCAAACGCCAGCGAGGGCACGCTGGGTGCTCTGGGGTAAGTCGAGCGGTGTAATCCAGTTCAACATCGAGAGCTAACAGGCGCGTAGTGCCATCACTTCTTGGATGAGTCTGCAGGCGCAATGGAGAAAGCACGGGGCTGCGGGTATCAGGAAGACCGCCTAGCGGTCGAGGGAACAAATGGGCGGATACGGGATGGCGACCCGGGATTGCAGAATCTTGTATGCAGACATTGTATGGCAACAGGACGGTTTCACCGGTAGCTTGCGCCCGTTATGCTTTCGCCTCGAAGCTGAGCCGAGCAGTTGTAAGGACCCGTTGCTCGCCGGGTGCCGAAAAGCTCCCGGCTAAAACGGACGTCATTCGCGTTCCCAGCACAAGCTTTAACCGTGGTTACCACTTTCTTTGGCATCTATAGCGATATCTGCGCAACCCAGGATCAAGAGGAAGCGGTTCCAAGCCAGAGTCAACCCCGGGCGAAGATCAAGGGCTCAGAGGCCAATACGTACATACGCGGAGTCCCGTCACATTCCCGCCATGTTGGGACTAGGCCGTGTCGGCCATTGGATGTTTGATCTGATTGCGATCTCGACGGTGATAGCGGGTGTGAAGAAGTCCACAGGATACTCGTAAGTGTCTCCCGTACGACTGTAGCATCAGCCGCTGACGAGATCGGTCCATTCATCAACTCCTCCTCGCGCTCAACGACACCGCCCACCACTGCCCAGGTTCAACCTCGCCGTCATACAAGACACGGCTATCCGCTCATTCCTCGACACGTACTTTTCGCTGGGCGAGACCGTGTTTGGGATGCTGAGCGGGTACATCGTAAACTCGAGGTACTTTAAGCGGTCCGTTGAGTGATTGAGGGGTCCACGACGGCTTGGGGAACGCCAAGGCCGGCAGACTCGACTACGGAGCAGCCTGTACAAGTGTTGTATGAAATATTGTCTACCTTCACACCCGACGACACGGAAGGCCAAACAGTCGTCTATACAGAAACTCTCTGACGTCAGCCTGTCTAGAATCGCGCACCACCTTCTGCAACCACCTCTCGACCACCATCTCCTCCGCGCTTTACCTCGCTCTACCTTGGTATACAGACCTGCTAAAAAAACACCTGATACTTCGTGATAGCCTAGACCCGCCTCAAACAGA